GCCGTCCAGAAGCCGGCGACTGATTTGCCTCGCCTGGGAACAGCGCAGTGATGGTGCCAACTTGGGCCAGTGAAGCAACGTCCTCCACAACTAGATTGAAGAACAAAACGAAAGCAACTTGTCTGTTCCCCTTCCCCCAATTCCCCAGCACTGTTCCCATCCCCCAATTCCCCAATTAAAATAAAAAAAACAAAAACCGTCAACATTTTCATTAACATTTTTACTCAGAAAACAATTTGAACTATAAGAATATGAATTTGTTTCCAGAAACCCATTTTAACTTGGAATGTCCTATCAAAAAAATCTGAAGCCTCTCAAACTTTGTTATTGTCCCTATATTTGCCCTGCCACAAAAGGTTGCTCACCTTCAGGTCAGCTGGTGTATAGAATTTTTCTGTCTTCTCCTAGTCTCTGATTCTGTCTGCCGGAAGGCACAGGGGCAGCAAACAACACGCCCTTTGTGTAAAAATCAAGAATCCAGGTCTCTGGAACTTCAGTCCTAGCCCCTTCCACTCTTACTCTCCTCGACTGCCTCCCTAGCCGCCTCCTCCAGCCCTGTGCGTCCACCGCACTGGGCACAGAATAGCGAGTCATGATGAGAGCATGTGCTGTGTGTGTGTGCGTGCGCGCGTGCACTCACCTGCACACACTACAATGCGTTTTTTTCTGTCCCTATCAATTTTTAAATGCTTTAACCAATATTTTTTAATTATAGGAATCTACAAGCTTCCTATAAATAAACCAAATAGTATAGAGCTATATAAAGATAAAAATGCTCTACTCCTTAGAGCCAGCCTCCATTCTCTAGGCCTTTGCAAACACTTGGGGACAGTAGGTTGTCTGGTTACAAAACTGAGTTTGTTTTTCATTTAACTCTATCACAGATATCTCTGTATTACTAATAATAGTGGCTAATAAGGACTTTTTTACTGAGTATTTACAAAATGCCTTTTAAAATTAACTCATTTGGTTCACACAATGTCCTTATGAAGGAGGTACTGTTACTACCCTCACTTTACAAATAAGGAAACTAAGACACAGAGAAGTGAAGTAGTTTTGCCTGTGGTCACAGTGTGTTAACAGTGGAACCAAGATTTGAACATAGAGATCTATCTCGTTCTTTCCAATGACTGTTTATATAGTGTGATACAGTACGTATGCATATCCTGTAATTGATTTAATGTGTCCCCTATTCATGGCTATGTAGGTTTTTCCAGGATTTTTTTTTCTTCCCAATTGCAAATTTATGCTACCATAAATATCTTCATGCAGTCATCTTTGTGCAAATATGTAAGTATTTCCTTAAGATAGATTTTAGGAAGTAGAATTGCTGGATCAAAAAAATACATGCATTTTCAATTTTGCTAGGAACTGTCAAATTATTCATCAATTATCTTACCAATTTATACTTCTACCAATAGTATATGAGAGAATCTAAACTTTAAATCCAAGACCGTCTCCTACACGGTAATGCAGGTGGAAAGTAACCAAGATGCCCTGGAGATGAGAACCCTGGAGAGGGCCTTAGCCCAGGAGAGAAACGAGGGAAGGGTAAAAGCAAGAGAAGGAGTCCAGAACACATCGTGGTCCCACCAGGGGATCTGCTGCAGTGGCACAAAACTGGAGTGCAGCTGCTAGATGTTTGAGAAGAAACCTGAATCTGAGGAAAGAAAGGAATCCAGAAAGAAAGTGTTAACCAGCAGCTGAATCGTGCGTTAAGTGTAGAGGTTAATGATGAAGAAGAAAATGGGGGTAGAATCATGGAGGACTCTAGCAAGATGAAAACTAAGCCCAACTATTGGGACATTTCCTGTTTAAGCAAGTATGGTCAGATGAGGAGATGAAGAAAACTCTTATTAGTTAAATTAATTAGAAAAGAGGTGAGTCTTCCCTTCTTAGCACACTTCTGCTTCCTTGCCAAGATTCAGTTTGTGTGAGTCTTTGCTGGCGAAGCCTGCCTTGAATTCCCTGATGAGTAAGGTGACTCCTTCCTCGAGCCTTGCCTGGGCCTGTCTCTGCTCCTGCTTTGCTCATCCTTTAATCCCCAATTTACTAGTCCAGCTCCTTAAAGGCAAGGACTGTGTCATGTTCGTAGTCTCCTCCCGCCACCTCATTTCAGCAGAGCACTGGGTAAAGGTCAGCTGGGTGGATGGATGCAGGGCTGAGAGGTGGGCAGGAAGGCGGGTGAAGCAGGTGGGAAAATGCCGGGACCCCTTCCTCAAGTCCCAAAGAGCGCCAAGAGTTAAATCACTCGGATTTCAAGGGGGGACGCTTTCTCCAGAAAACTCTCATCTACCAATTACACAAACAGGTTAATAAAAGTTCTCATTGCACAGATGGCCCCCTTTGAAAAGGGAGAAGCCAGAGCCCACCTGCTTTTCTCCTTCATCATTTCCGCCTTCTGCTTGACTTGGCTTTCTGATAGGCCTTGTTGGAAGTGTGACCACTCATCAGTCTGAAGACTGCCAACAAGAAGCATGATTGAAGACTAATGACTTCTGAAGATGACATAATTCTCAGTAGGCTGCTTGTAGGTTCAGGGGTTGATGGGGCAAGTTATTTTGAAATACTCATTGAGATATAGGATAAGATTTGTTAATTTGTACACAGGTAACGAAGAGTCTGACGGTGGTTTTCTGCCACTTCCCCTTTTCAAAAGTAGAAATGTACAAACCCTTTGAGCTTTTTTAATGAAATGTTTTCTAATTTCTAAAAGTTCATAGACACACAAGGCTACACCTTTATAGTAAGGAAAGGGAAATGACATTTTTGAGACGGAAGTTTACAATTATGTAACTTTGACAGTAAAGGTAATTTGTTTTCTTTCTCTTGCTGTTGAAGTCCTGAATCTTTCCTTCTGTCTTGCATTGTTGGCCAACCAGCCTTATTCTGTGCTAGAATCCTGAGTACTGAACTGTAGTTTGTATTCTGCGAATGGGCAAGTTGGTTAACTGAATCATTTGTAGCCATACAGAAAAATCAGACCTGAATTTGAATCCAGACTTTATCAGTTATCAGCTCTGAAGCTTTAGTCAAGTAGCTTAACCCATCTGGCCTATTTCCTTATCTATAAAATAAGGATAATGTCTTCTTCCAGTGAATGTAACGATTCAGTAATAGGATTTGTGCAGAATACCTAGTGCGTCACCTCAAGTGTAGTTGATACTAATCATGAGTTTTTTCTTTGTTGTTGGAAACCTTTCTAAAATCCCCACATTTAAGTCTTTCTGAGCTTCCATTTTCTCATCTATGAAATGGGGGTGTCACCCATATCTGTGTTATAAGGATCAAATAAGAGCAGATGTCTTCTTTCATTTACAGCTGCAGGCAAATCATACCAACCTACAAGCCAGATATGATGAAACAAAGAAAGTGCTGACAGAGGTGAGCAGATTTTCCTTTCTCCCTGGGCCTCATTAAGAATCATTTTGACCTGCACTATTCATGGAATGCCGTGTGTCATCGATCGGTCTGTGTGGAGCAGTGATCCCCTTCTCAGGGCTCAGGTCCATTTGGACAATCCCATGACAGTGCCTGACCCAGGCCATCAGTTTATCCATGTCGACATGTTCTAAGCCAGGGTTCGGCAAACTGCGGCTCGCGAGCCACATGCAGCTCTTTGGGTACGTTCCATCTCAAAAGTTTGCTGAGCCCTGGAAGAGCCAGTCCTGTCCCTCACAATTTAAAAATTATTAGAGAGCCATAAATATATTTTTACATAATTACCATTATGTAAGTAATATCCTTTAAAATGTTATAAATGAAACTATGATAGTTTTCTTCTCATTTTCAATTTTACTTCAGAGCCACACACTCGCAAGCCACAGTTTGCTGCCCCTGGCAGCTCTTCCATCTCAAAAGTTTGCCATCCCCCGTCTAAACCATCAGCAATCTATCTAGGTGGGAGGGATCACTGGGGCTCCAACGGTCAGGATAGGTTCCCTGAAGAAGGCAGGCCTGATAGGCGGGGGCGGGCCACACAGAAGAATATATAGGATCCTTCCCAGTAAGTATCCCTGCTCCTCAAGCAGGTTGTAGAATAGCTCCAGAATACAGAATTCCTTGAGAGAGACCGTTTCTTGTTTGTAAGAACCACAGGATGACATAATTTGCTGTTCAAAATTGCCATTGAAGCCAACCTAGGTGAGATGGGAGAGGGACTCTCAGGAGGAGGGGTTGCTGGTATATCTTGAACCATTCAATCGTTTTCCAGTCCAGGTTGGGAGTGTGCCATCTCACATCAGCATCAGAGTGTTGCTTGCCTCCCACTCCTGATTTCCTGGGAAACCAGGCAAAGAAAACAACCGCCTCTGATGCCAGCTCTGGCATGGGGGAGTGGAGATATTCCTGTCCCTTGCATTTCCATAGAACGGTTCTCATTTGTATCAGAAAAGCTCTCTCTGTGATTTTGGCACTTGGGCTATAGCTGTTCTCTGTACAAAGGGCCCCACTTTCTGGACCTGTGGAAAAAGGACCGGTCCTCAAAGACACCTCTGAAACCAAACCAGTCCCCAGTTTGTTTTGTTTTTTTAATTTCACATGAAATTTGCCCATTTAAAATTCTTACATTTATAGCAATATGCAGCACTTGTAAGCCCGACAAAGCTTTTTAATTCTCACCTGGACTAGTCTCTGGTTATTGTCAGAATATTTAAAAAGGGCAGGCACAGGAATCAGACTTAATTTTTTCAAATTTCTCTCTAAAGACGCCTGTGTTGCCTTTGGACAGATCAGCTGTCTTTCTGCTGTTCTGTGACCACATCCCTTACAGATTGCTTAGATAACAAACCCCTGGGGTGGAAATTCCTGCTGTGTGGTCTTACCTTTAAGGCTGTGGAGCCCCTAGCTCGAGGTTAGCCCAGTCATGGATCAGCCTTTGTATAACAGTCTGGAAGAGATTAAAATATCTTGATATCAATTTCCTAAGACACTTAAAAGCCTTAGGATGTAAGTCCTAAGTGGCTATGAAGTGGCTTTTTGTACTGAAAACTCAAGTTGGTTTATGTGCTAGAAAGGTAGAGGGTGTGATTAAAGTCAACAATGAGAGATAGTCTTTCTGTCCTCAAATGATAGTAGCCGCCAACGTTAACTATATGCTGAGTGGGCTCCGGGCACGTCACTTGTATTAGTCCTTGAATCTTTCCAGCAACCCTGACAATACACTGTTACCATCCCTGTCCCACAGATGGGGACACTAAGGCAGAGAGGCCATGCTGGCGGTCGGGCACCGAACACCTCAGAGAGCTTACTGTCTCATAGGGCAGTCACACCAATTCCCACCTACAAAACTTGGAAGCTATATGAAACCTAGTTCTGAAAAAACGTAGGAAGAAGCCTGATTTGGTCAGAATACTGAAGATCAGGCCCCTGAAGAAATAACGAACTTTGTCTTTGGGCCTCAGTCTCCTTATCTCGTCATGGCAAACACGGGGTGAAACAAGTACTCCGAACCCTTTAACACAGTCTTCCCAGGGTTTACCTTTTCATCAACACCTGCCCTTCCAGGATAACCTGGGGCACCAAACAGCGGGATACCTGTCTTTCCAGTAAACTTAGGAAACATGAAGCAGGGCTTAGAAGGTGGAGGACAGGTGACAGCGTGTGGCACCTGCAAGGAGGCTGCACACCGCTGAAGCAGGCCAGTGCAGGGGCCACCAGGCACTGGCCTGTCCACTTTTCATTTTCAGCAGTCACGGCTTTAATTTCCTGTGTGTGAGGCTGGTTCTTTTTAATATATGCAGTATCCTGTCCTGTCTCTCTAAGGGCATTGATTATCTAAAGTTTTTCTTGATCTATAAACTATTTCTTCAGATCAAAATTCATGTTGAGTTGACACACCTTTTATTATGGTTTTATCTTGCTGCAGATGTGCCATAATACTTGGGGGTGTGCCTATCTTTGATTCTGAAATTTCCTGTTAGCAACTCTGTGAATTCTGTATCCATTTTATGCAGCCTGCTTCATGTGATTATTCTGAAAGAATGGGTCCTACTCTTTGGTGGGATCAGCCAGTGGTAACTGATATTTGGGGCCGTAGAACTCCCCATTCCTCCCGGGATTGCCGGCTGGGGCCCTGTTCTGCTCCTGCGACTCGAGCACCGGCTCTTGGGGTAACTCTTAGGTAAAGGGAGCCATGCCAGTTGCTTAGCGCAGCTGGTGGAAGTCCCTGACACAGACCTCAGCCCTGCAGACCAGCCCTCTGTCTGCGTCTGCTCATTCCACACAGCAGGCCTCCTCAGGCCATTCCTGGCCCTTTGCCATCTTTCTTGTCCCTGAGGCACCCCCTCCTGTGTTTCATCATAACAATCTGGGCTTTTTAGGCCTCGAGGCAAGAAGGAGTTGCTGCAACTTGTGCCTGGTCTTTTGTTTTCAACTAGAACCCTTGGAACTCTTTTCAACTTGTTTTTTTTTTTTAATAGGTAACACATTCACATGGTTCAAAATTCAAAAAGTACAGAGTACACTCCCTTAACTCAGCCACTCAATTACCCTCTCAGAACTAGTGCAGCTAATTTCTGTGAATCTTTTCAGAAATACCTTTTGCATATATAAGTAACATGCATATTCCTCAATGCAGGTGTACACTCAATGTATACCTTCCTTTATACTTATTAGAAGCATATTATACTTGTGGTTTTCTACCTGTTTTCTTCACCTAATAGTAGAGATCATCACAAAACAGCTGCATTTTTCTTTTTAAAAATAGCAGTTTAGTATTCTATTGTATGATATAACTGTACACTTTATAATTTATACTTTATTTTTAAAGTTTCTTTAAAATTTCCTTTTTAAAAACCTCACTGTCTGACTCAGAAAATGGAGGTGACATTATTTAGGAAGATAGGAGATTTAACCTGTCCCTGTTAATAGCCACAATAATGGCATTCTGAAACGTAAACCCAGGTCTGTCTCACAGCCACTCCTTTTATTTCCCTCTTCCCACCGAAAGGCACCTGCTGTCAACATTACTTTGGACTTTTCACCTATTTGTTGCTGTGATTGAAAGCCGTTGCCAAGGTTTCTTTAACCAGCAGTACGTGTCAGGAAGGGTCGTGTTCTGGCCTTTCCATGTTGTCCCTCCACGCCCGTCCTGTTTTTCTTGCCCACCTGTTTTCTCAGTGTCTAGCTCAATCCTGTGGGCTCAGCCACCTGTCAGAAGTGGCGTACAGGTGGGACCAGGGGGAGGAACGCAAGCACTCACTCTTCTGCACTCCCCGATCTCTAGCAGCAGTGCCTCCCTTCTCTCTTCCAGTTGAACAGTCATAGTGAGAAACTGGACAAGGAACAGGCAGCCCTCGAGAAGATAGAATCCAAAGCTGACCCAAGGTAAGGGCTTTCCGCGTGTGTGCGTTTTCTCTTTGAAGCGAGTGACTTGGCCAGCACCTGGTGGCTTAACTGGTTGGCGCACAGGATGAAGGAGCCCGAGGTCATGCTTCTGGCTCGTCTCACAGGTCAGTTCATCCACGTGCCGACCCAGAATGCTCCTGTCAGCGAGCACGTGCTGAGATGTGCTTGGGCGGCAGAGGCAGCCCTTTCTCCCACTTCCCTGGGGATCAGAAGCAATGTGTTTGGGGCTTTGTGTTTTCATTGTTCTGTTTTTAAAACCTAAATAACACATTCACAGTACAAGGCAGCATACGGTAAAAAGTCTCCCTCCCACCCTGTCCCCCCAGCCGCCCACTTCTCCCGGGAGTCAACCATTGGTACCAGTTTTTTTCACAGCACTCGTTTTAGCCGTGTCTCCATAGGAGTAAAGGTGGTCTTTTTTCTGCCCCTCTCCCCCAACCCCAACCCCTGCCAAAAAGCTTCTGGCTTTTTTTCCTCCCATTTAAAGTAATTGTCTTTAGACAATTTACATATAAGCAGCACTTACATTTGATGTTTTTGTCATCAGACCATTTGGGTAGTAAAATCTCTTAAGTGTCACTTATTTGAATGAAATTGTGAAATCAGTCAGGCACAGATTGAGCAGTTCCGGGTTTGATAGACATTTTTAGCAAAGACGTACCCACAGCTTACTTGGCTTTATAATTAGAAACCCTTCTGTCATGATATGAAGCAAAGTACTGTTAGATACTTGACATTTTTATTTTCAAATTAGTGTGTTTAATGACCTCTAGCAACTTGTTTCCTTTTCAGAACGGATATTAAAAACACTTTTCCATACCGTTTATGCTCTGAGTACTGTCAAGAAATTGGTATCATTAAGTATACCCAGTACTCTTGAAACTCATTGGTGTTTCTGCAGGTGACATTTCAATTCTGGATTCTGTTTTGTTTGCATGTAGGCTAATGGACTCTGGCATATAAATGAATAATAATGTCAGTTAAACGGTAGTCTTTATCTTTTGTGGAGAACCCATTAGACACTTGAGAGTGACAAAGGAAATTAAAATGGGAGTCCCTTTTTAGCCGGGGACTTCGTTTTAGCTATGATTCATAAAATCATAATGGCTTGCCATGTGTCATTTTTCGGTCTTTTCTCTTCAGTATCCTACAGAACTTGAGAGCACTTGTAGCCATGAATGAGAAGCTGAAAAGCCAGGAACAGGAGTTTAAAGCACATTGTCGAGTAAGTGTGGCTTGGTGTCTGCAGACATTAAACCAGGACTCTTGTACAATCTCTTGCTCTCCCCCTTCCTTGTCCTGTTGTGAAACCCTGTCCAAGTGCAGTCGAAAGGGTAGATTCATCACGCAGTTATGTGTCAGTTGTGTGAGATGAATAGAGAACTATGGGAGGTACACTCCAAGGACACCAGAAGTACATTAGATTAGTAACCGGTCTGCCAAACCCCAAATTGGAGAGCATAGTCTTACAGTGTTTTCTACTTTACAAATGCATTTAAAAGAAAATTTTATAAAGTATAAAGGAATAACATCATATAAAATCAGGGCTGTCCTGAAAACCTGGGTGTCTTGTTGTCACGTGTATAAGCCCTAGTTCTTGCCATCTGGGAACTCATTGTCTAGTAGTGGGGGTGACGTGTGCACAGGTGACCATGACAACCATAGCAGGAGATAGGAGATGAGGCCCGAGAGGTCTGTGTGCACTCCAGAGGAAGAGAGGCCACTCTGGCACAGGAGCTCTGGAAGCTGGCTCTACTTAAGAGCAGTGAGGCTGGCAAGTGGAGGAGGGGCTTGGTGAGGCAGGGCTGCAGGCTAGAGGGTACCAGAAAGATGGACAGGCCTGTGGAGAAGAGGGAAGAGAGGCCGATTAGAAGTGGGCTCTGAGCTGCCCATGCATTTCATGTCCCAGTGATTACTGCGTGCCTCACCACCCTCTAGATAGATGGGCCCTTCTGACATACAGCTGCCTATAGCCTCCTGAAAAAACCTTTCCCAGGCTGAAAATTGGAGATCAGGGCAGCTAGTTCCTAATGGACTTTTTGTCCTAGCATAAATTCACAGAATGTGAAAATAAGACTCTGAATCAAGTTAAATAATTGGATTCAGTTATAGCTTCTCCAAGTTTCATGAATATTTATATCACTTTTAAAGGAGGAGATGACACGGCTACAGCAGGAAATTGAAAATCTGAAAGCTGAGAGAGCTCCAGGTGGAGAAGAAAAGGTAAAAGCCCTGAAGGAGTCCTGGCGACTGTGAGGTGCTGCTGTGACTTACGTGGTGAAGATTCCTAGAGGACTAACCAGCAAAAGTCTGATGCTAGAACGGACTAGTTTCTTCAACCTGGTCCTCTGAACACACGTTTCTCAATTGGTTTCATCACCTGATTTTCTTAGATTCCCATCCCTCTCCTTTCCCTTCTGGTGGGTAAATAGCAGCAGTGGGTGTGGACAGCAGCCACCCCAGACAGGAATTACTAGATTACAAATCCTCCCTCTCCCTGCATTTAGGGAACCGGTGTTTCACCGGAGCTCTGTTTCCCACTCAACCTAATCTTCTCTACCTTTGGTACCAGTTTACTCACTTCACCCTCCACTTCTGCCCAGAGACGTACCCCACCCTTAGAAGGCAGCACTGAGTAGGAAACGGAGCAGTGTATCAGAGCCCCAGCAGTGCAGGAGCTTTCAGGGCTGAAGGAGCACATCTGGCTCCCTGAACAAAGACTCGATCTCCCAAGGAGCTGGTGTGGATTTCCATCAAGCCTTAAATTATAATGCAGGGATGGAAAAAAAAAGTATTTCTCTCTCCAAGTGAGAGTGTAAGGATCGCTGTGTTGTTCTCCCTTCTCACACTTGATTCAAAGGTTATTTCCTGAGCATCCCTGTGCTTAGGATGCACGAGCTGGATGTAGCCTCAGATCTCAGCAATTGCACCTTCTCCCTTGTAGAAATGGGGAACTTGGGGCTGGGGGGGTGGGGGGACTTGCCCAAGCTGACCAAAATGAGTGTGCGCGCGCGCACACACGCTCAGGGAGGGACTGCGCAGGACATTGCCGTACTCAGCTGGAGATGCCTTCTCCCTGCATGCTGGGGTTGTGTCATTTCAGCCAGGCCACACAGCTCCTCCGCCTGTGAGGACGGGCACAGAGAATAGCAGAGTTTGACCATGCCGGCACAGCGGTGTCCTGGGATCATTGTCACACAGCCTGTCTTTCCAGTCGTTTCCAAAACTTTGAACCGTTGATGCCCAAATCATCAGCTCAGTCAGCTTCTGAGTTTGCACAAATCTCAGATGTTTTGGATCCCGTTTCTCTTCTCAGCAATCACATCTTGTTAGAGAGGTTATTACTCACATTCAAAGTCAAGTTTAGCTTGTTCATGTGTAACTGACAGACATTTAAGAACAATTTAAAATCTGGGGGCTCATATAGGGGCTATTCCCTTTCTGTTCTCTGACCAGACATGGTCAGTAAACTGTCCCCTGCCCCCACCCCTTCCTACATTTAGGCTCTCAGCTTCTATTCCGTTCACCTTCCTCAAAAGGGCGTTTCTCACTATTCATCTTTTCAGGCCCTCTCCAGCGGAGAGCCGCATGATGCCCTCGCCCCTGTGATGACTCATAATGTAAGTACCTGCCCTTTTCAGGACTGCCATGTCCTCTTCGGGTGTGGCAGCCAGCTTTATACTCTCTCATGAGTTTCTCCTGCCTACTTCAGTTTTCCCTGTGGCCACCTCCTCATCTGCAGGCTCTCAGGGCCACATCTGGCCCCTCAGATGCAGGCAGGATCTCACCGGGACGCCCTGAAGGCCACCATTCTGGGGAGTTTTCTCCCAGCACCTTGTGCAGGCGTCTGTCTTTCCTTTGGCATCTCTGCTGAGAAGGGGTGAGGCCTGCATTGGCCGTCCGTGCTGGTCACAGCCCGTGGGCCGAGGGATGGGGGCGGTGCAGAAGGGAAAGCCCCTTTTTATGGTACAACATTCTAGGATCAGCAAACTCTAAGGGGCAGATAATACGTATTTTTAGCTTTGTGGGCCAGCTTCACTATTCTAGTCATAGTCAATATGTAAATAAAAGGATGTGGCTATGTCTCAAGAAAGTTTTGTTTGCAAAAATAGGCAGACGAATTTGGCCCAAGGACTGTAGGATTTGGCTCTTGGGCTGTAGTTTGCCTACCCCTGTTGTGAGTTCAGTTGGTGCTCCCAGCTTTCCAACACTCCAGCACACCTCCAGGAGAAAGAAAAAAGGGAGAGGAGGAGGAAGAGAAGCAGGGAAGCCTCTAAGGGTTTGCCTCCTTCAGGGCTTCTGTTGGCTTTGTGCCCTCAGAAGCCTTAGAACAGGGGTCGGCAAACTTTTGAGACGCAAGAGCCGCCAGGTGTCAGCAAACTGCGGCTCGCAGGCCACATGCGGCTCTTTGAGTACGTACGTACATGTGGCTCAAGTAAAATTGAAAATGAAAAGAAAACTATCATAGTTTCATGTATAAATTTTTTAAAGGATATTATTCACATAATGGTGATTATGTAAAAATATATTTATGGCTCTCGAATAATTTTTAAATTGTTGTCACGGACAGGATTGGCTCTTCTAGGGGTGGGCAAACATTTGAGACGGAACATACCCAAAGAGCTGCATGTGGCTTGCGAGCCGCAGTTTGCCGACCCCTGGTCTAGAGAATAGGACTCCTGTGGTGAGGCCTGTGGGATTTACCCACAGCTCAGCCCTGTGGAAATTGTATAGTGTCTGTGTCTGTCTCTCTCTCTCTCTCTCTATCTCTCTCTCGCTCTCTCTCTCTGTCTATGTCTGTGTGTGTGTTTGTTTGTGTGTGCTGGGGATGGGGGCACCTCTGACCTCATTGTAGCTTTCTCTAACTCAGCAAACTATGTCTCTTACCTCATTGGGTTCAGGAAGGAGCTAGTTTCTTTCTTTTAATTCAGCTCTTTCCAAAAGAACTTTCTACAATGCTGGACATGTTCTGTATCTGCCCTGTCCAATACGGTAACCACTATATGTGGCTACTGAGCACTTGGAATGTGACTAGTGCAACGGAGAAACTGACTTTTTTAAATTTCAGTTAATGGAAATTTAAATAGTCACATGTGGCTGGTGGCTATCATATTGGACAGTGTGGCTCTAAACAGAAACAAAAAGCAAACCAGCACCACCTCCAAACACAGAGGACAGTAGGTTCTTTAAGTCGGGATTGTCTCCTCCTCATTATGGTTTGTTTTTAGTGGTGGCAGGGGGGGGACACGTGGATTTCGGGGATCCTTCACTTAAAAACACTGGATTCAGGCTGGATCCCAGAAGAAGGAAGAGTTGTTATAAAGGGATGTGAAAGGGGGTCAAAGGTCTCACATGACATATGACCCAGACCCCAAACTTGGCCATTTAAGAAATGTGGGGCCTGAGGACGGGGGAGATGTGGTTTAAAAACATTCAACTTCAAAAGAATTCATCAAAGAATGAAAGTTTCCTATTTCCAGATAATTGTGTCTTTTTCCAATTTTTAGGAAGACCTAGACAAACAGTATAATATAGAGAAAGAGAAACTTTACAAGATCCGTTTACTACAGGTGAGTAAAAACAATAACACAGAAATATACACTGCATCTAGCAAGGTATGCGTGTCCTGTCGCAGAACTAGAAAGTCTCAGCCTCTGAGACCTGAAGACTTGGGACTAAGGCTGCTGTTTGCCAGTCTTCTATTCGGAGGGTAACTTGGTGGTTTAAGACCATAATGATAACGCCTCACGTTGGTATGGTACTTTCATGATAGTCTCGTTTGATTCGATCCTCACCCTAGGTGGAGAGTAGGTATTAGCCTCATTTTCTATGTGAAGAAATTGACTCAAATCCGGTAAGTACTTGACCAAAGTCAGCCGCCGGTAAATGCCAGAGCCAGGATTCAAGTTCTAATGTTCTTGTCTACTATTGAACTTTTCCTCTGAAATTAAGTTCCCATTTTCGCTGTCTTAGTTGAGTAACCCTGGAGGTTGATGAGAAGGACATCAGCTATGGGGGAGGTAGGTTTTAGAGTTGGCTCTAAAGCTAAATTCACACAGTCAGAATCACATTGTAGAATCCCTCATGTTGCCAGCAAATGGCTCCTAGAAGCTCAGAAGCCCAGAGCTAGCTCGTGTTGCGCGGCAGCCCAAGCCCTCTTTCTGTTCTCCGGGAGGAAAGGCCAGGCTCTGTTGGCAGTGGCCGAAGGGCTGCAGGGCCGGTGGGACCCTGCTCTTCCTGTCGCTGGCTCTTGCTCATTTTGCTGGGCTGCTTGGTTAAATTTGGGTAAGTCAGATTTGTCTTGTAACAAGGACAAACTGTGCTAATCTTTAAAGAGACGCAGAATTCAACAAAATCAGGACAGTACAGCTGTGTACTTGGAACCTTTTTGGCTGTGTGCTCGCTGTATGCTTAGTGTTGCATTAGGTCCCGGGAATAGCCAATGAGATGGCCCATTTTCCAGGAGCTGGCTGGCTCTTGGAGGACCAAGATACATCTGTATACATCAAAGTACAAGAGAGCTTACATGCAAATTGCAAACTGTGTGCCACTTCCCACTGGCGAGAGGGAAGCTGCAGTCAAGTCCTAAGGGTCTAAGCCAGGGCACGATTGGTGGGGATGGACAGAAATGAACTGTGGGGAGAGACCGAGAAGCTGCATCCGATGGAATTGATGGGCGAGAGAGAAAGAGGACTCGACGATGACAGTGGTGCTCGCAGTGCTGACTCGGGGAGTAGGGTGGATACTGTGTTATTCACTGAGATAAAGGGAGTGAGAGTATGACTAAGTGTTACTGAGGTCATTTGGGGCTTTTAAAGGTTGGGGTACTCACCTATGTAGCAGTGTCTAAGCAGGGATGGGTGCTGGGTCTGATGCGCAGCGTAGTCTGGGCTGGACATTGGGTGTCATCACCGTGTAGGTGTGGTGTAAGGAAGGGCTTTTTTAAGGAGTGATGGACTTGAACACATTTAAATGCTAATGAGGAGCCAGTAGAAAGGGAGAGCTTTAAAAGATACCATAAAAAGAACAAATAATTGTGTCTTCAGATTCCTGGGAAAAAACAAAACAGGAGTCAGAGCCTGAGCTCCTGTGGCGGGGTGGGGAGTGCAGCCTTGGCCAAAATGGGAAACCCGTCTTTCCCGCGGACCAGAGCGGAGGCCTTCTGTAGCTTCCGCTTCCAGCCACACCTTCTCCACTGCAAGGTGGAGAGTCACTCGCAGCCTGAAATGGGGCCCTCAAGCCAACAGCAGAATTTGGGGCCTGCATTCCAGGACGTGCTCAGGCAGCGGTGGGGGGCCATGCCTCTGGCTCCTAGAGAACGTGGAAGGCCTACCAAACGGTGTTGTCTCCTCTCCCTTTTGCATTAGGCTCGAAGGAATCGAGAAATAGCAATTATGCATCGCAAGATTGATGAAGTGCCCAGCCGAGCCGAGCTAATACAGTATCAGAAGAGATTTATTGAACTCTACCGCCAGAGTAGGTGCATCGACCACTAACACGCTGTCAAGGCTGGCTTCGGGAGGGACAGGAGGCGAGGGGCTTTGTCCCACTTGAGCGTGGTGGGGTGTGCCTCAGTGCAGTCCCTGAAAGCCACCACCGAAAAGGGCTGTTTCATCATTAGGCCCACTCGACACTCAATCCATGTAGCCTGCTGGTGACCCATAATCCCGGGAGCAGCACTGGGGTGCTCCTACTGCCCTGTGTGTGGACAGTTTGTTTCGAACCAGCCCTCATCCCAGTCAGCCCTTGGACTCCCTGAGCTCCCCATCTACTTGCCAGCATTACACAGAGCGTCGTAGCCCCAGCATCTCGGGGTCAGTCCTTGCACAGTGTCCTCTCAGACTTGCTGGCTGATGTGGTCCTTGCCTTTGACAGCATCGTATTCACCTGGTAATCCGGGACGATCGCCCTCAGCCTGAATCAGTGACCACATCTTGTCAGGCTCAGCGTGGCCCTCAGAGCTGAGGTTGCCTTTCTGTTTCCACTGCTACCACCACTCCTGTTCTTACTTGCTTCATAGCTGAGCTGAAGGACCATTAGCTGGTCTGCAGCCCCTTCTACGGGTCTCTCATCCACACATCTGAGTGTGTCACTTCTTTCTCTGCTGACATATCTTCGGCAGCTCTCTAGGGCCTACTGAATAAAGCCTCTCTCTCTCCTTACTCTGCCTGGATCCTCCCAGTCTCAGTGGCTGCCTGGGGACCCCTTTCCTGCTCTGAGCCCACACTCTGGCCTCACCAGTCCACACACTGCCTCTGAACACGCCGTGCACTTTGACACCTGAGGCCTTGACACCCCCCCCTCCCCCCGCTCCCGTTATCTGTGTCTGGGACCCTTTCTCCTCTGTCTGACAAAATCCTTCAAGACCCAGCTCAGATATCCTCTCTAAACGGGTCCTGGACCACCACCCCTTCCTCTAGGCTCCCGTTCTCCCATGGCCCCTGGACACTTCAGACTCTACAGGTACAGAGCTGGATGCAGCCTCCCTTCCTTGCATTCCCTCTCGGTCCCTGGGATCACTGTCTAGCCCAGCTGGGCCCTCCGTAGTCCACTCACACTTACGTTGCTCTGCCAGCCCTGTTTCTGAGAGTGGTCAAGTCCATTTCTTCTGGACGACTTCTGTAGCCACCTTTTCACCACTGTCCAGAGTCTAGCCCCTTCCCTGCACTCTTGCCTAAGAGATCTTTCTCAAACATACATTGGATCATTTATACTCTTGCTGTAAGACCTCTGATATTTAATAACTCCCCATAACCGGTTGGATAATCTTCGGAATCCTAAATTCCCTGATAGAGTCCTGCATCATCTGGGCTGGCATCACTGGCTGGCTTCCCCTGCAGTCCCTCAGTGCCTCACCCCTCACAGGAGGCCATCCGCGTCTTGGCCTGTGACCTGGTCCCCAAGTCCAGTTGCCACTGCCCTGCCATTCCCACTTGGCAAAACGACTCTTCTTTAAAACCCACCTCAGATTATGCCTTGAGTTCTTGGCCTCTCAGGCATAGAGAACTGTCCTCACGGGAGTCCAGAGTTGCGCTTCCATCCACGTGCCTTTGCCCACCGAGCTCAGGATGTTTCCAGTGCTCACATTTGACTCAGATGATGGGGACAGGCGTGAATAGTTTCTGCCTTAAATCTTTCCGCTTAATTTTCTGCCTACCTTATAGCTTTTAATAAGAATAATACCTTGCATCTGTATCTTTCACAGATTAAACTTCACATGTTAAAGTCATTTGTGATAGGACATTTTTACACCAAAGACATTTTCAATCAGTTGCACCAAAATATCTACATCATTTAAAAAAATTTATCAAATACCTGCGTCCCCCACGCAGTGCTTGAGCTGGATGGAGTAAGGGTGACAGTGTGTTCCTGAGCAATAAAGCTAAAAGTTGACTGGTTTATTTATGGCAGTGATGGTCAACTTTGGCTACTGCTTGGAATCACCCGGTCCCGCCCTCAGAAAATATCGTTTCATTGGTCATGGGACACTGAAAGCTCCCTCCCAGGTGACTCCCTTTTTCAGCCCAGATTGAGTACCACTGTTCTAGAGCTTTCGGCAATAATTATACTTTATATAGAGTAGTTCATGATGTGATTTTCATACAAATTAGATGCTGGGAATACACATTTTGATGTTGGGAACATTTTTAACCGTTGCATCAAAATGCTTGTATCAGGTTCTGTTACCAAATATGTTCAGCTAAATCTCCCTGACCTTCATTCATCTTTGAGCTGCGGTGCTGGAGGGAGACACAGCTGTTACTGGGTATTAAAGTTAAAAGTTCAATGATTGGTTTAAAGAATCAGATTTAAATGTGACTGGGAGTTGTCCAAGGAAACCCACATTGCCCAGGCCTGCTGTGCCTCCCTCGCTTGTGCTGCTCCAGCAGGAGCCTGTGTTCAGGGAGCCGGAGCCCATGGAAAACCAGAACCCACTGTAGTCTTGGCTGGTGCCTGATAACTGTTAGGCATCAGGATCTTTAACTACAGCTGTGCTGGAGCTCAGGCTCAAGGGGCCTCCCAGTTTCTGGTACCCCCTCTCATAAGAGAGCTGTACTTTTCACTCCAATAAAAATCTCTGCTCCTCTAAAAACACACAAACAAACAAAAAAACTGACTGAACCCAGGCCTGGAGATTTTATCTCTCTCTGGGCGTCTGTGTGTTATGGAAATTAGAGCAGTAAGGAAGTCACTTAGGCTCAGAGCCACTGGGGCTGCCCAGCCACCCAGCAACAGAGCGGAAGGGGCAGAACGGGCAAGTTTGGGTAGGAACCCTTCACCTCAGTGACCTCATTCTCTGGTGAATATGGCACTCTCAGTCCTGGAATTGGACCATTTGCTCCTTAGTCTCTCTTCTTTTAGGAAGAGTGAAGAAGGGGAGGTGGACTGAGATGCTGAGTAGTTGTATAGGTAAAGATGTCAGGAGCCCTGATAATAAGTGCCCCTTCGTCATATGCACAGGGGTAAGGAAGAGAATACACACTCATTAGCATGTATTCTGCCCTTGGGTAGGCGCGAGTCATTCATCAGGAGGCATCTGGGAGGGTCTACTGAATAGGCCTGTCTTAACAATGGGAGTTAGAAAAGTTTACAGCTGTGGCTCGGCCCCTGGGGAGTGTGGAAAGGGAGGAAGCCACACAAACAGGAAGAGGTGGCATGGCAGCTTCCTCATCCTTGCCACCTTCCTCCCGGGACTCCCCACCCGAAGGACTTCTGAGAAACTCACCTGTCCCACACCTGTAACCCCTCCTATTGGCCAGACCAGTCACGACTGGTAACTTGCCATCAGCCTGCAGCAGCTCTGCACAGGCATTTGTGCCCTGCAGGGCTCTCACCCAGACAGCAGGCCAAGAGTGCCAGCCCTGACAGGCCTGGGTCCTGCAAGGGGGTTGAGGGGACACCGCAGTGAGGGAGGGTGCTTAGGGCCATTTTCATGTATCTTACTCATGTACTGATTTCTTTGCATTTATAGTTTCAGCAGTACACAAAGAAACCAAGCAGTTCTTCACTTTATATAATACCCTGGACGATAAAAAGGTTTATTTGGAAAAAGAGGTAAGAACCTTTATAAAAAGAAAATACTTCATCAGATGAGCAGCTACTGGTGCTGTTGAGCCCAGGAAGTTTAAATGAACGTTGTGTCTGGGGTCCATCCAGTTTCAGCAGAAGGAGTGCCTGTTGTATGCCCAGTGCTGGGATGGAGTCAGAAAGTGCAAGATGCCACTGGAGCTCACGTTGTCGGGGGTGAAGTGAGACTGGTGGACAGCTGTCTCCTGGTGCCATGTGAGAAATGGCATCATTCAGAGAAGCAGTGGAAGCTTGGGGGTGCATATGGATAGGGTCCTCGAGTGGGAGAAACTTTAGTTTAAGTTTCAAATGAAGGAAGCAGCCAAATGAAATGGGGGTGGTAAGCTTGTCATAGTTTACCTGGGGAAATCTATTTCATCATCGGTGGCAGACAGAGGTATGGCCTAAAAGGATTGTAAAATTCAAAGCAGGAGTGAAAAGGGTTCACATGGCACTGACAGCCACTGTGTATTACTCTGACTCTCAGGTTAAATCTGTTCATGATTCAGGGATCCCCAAGTTGAATGACAAATGATTGAGGCAGGGTGTCCAGCTATGGTTATGAAAAGAACAGTACCGGCCTTCACACTTGCAGCACAGTGTGGCGGGGAGAGCATGAGCTTTGGAGTCAGACAGATACGGGTGTAGCCTGGCCTTGTTTTCCTCACTAGGAAAATGGGGCTACATCTGCTTTATGTGATTACGATGGACGCGGAATGGGAAATGCGAAGCCCTTTGAGCGTGGTGGTGCTCAGTACACTTAGCTCCTGCGCGCCCTTCACCTTGAGGTTGACAGAATTTGTTTCCGTTTCTCACCTTGACACCTGCACTAATTACCACTTTAACAAGAGCAGTATTACGGATGTATCTTTTACCGAACCCACATGGAGGCATCTAATTATTGTCACCTTTATTGCCTGTTCATCACACCAGATAAATCTCACTCCTAGAGGGCACTCCTTGAGGAGGAGTTGAGTTCTGTTTTTCTCTGTTTCCAGGGCCTTGCACAGCGATGGGCACATAACAGGCATTTGATAAACGTTTAAGTAGATAAGTTGAGTGGATTTGGTGGGATTTAGGTCAGACCTGGGGAATAGCTCTGCTACATGTGCTGACCTTGGAATTTTGCTGCCTGGGATGAGAAAGACTTGCTAAACTAAACCTAACTTAGGGACAGGCCAGCCTCTTGAGCCCATTGACCTTCCTTCATCAGCAATGTCTGAAGTTTTTGCATTCATTTAAAAACTAGGAGTATGCAGGGGAGCAGGGCTGTTTAATTCTAAGCCATATTAACACAGTTAGAACTTTGCATTTGAATAAATTGTGCATTTATTCCAAATCTATTTATGCCTGTGATATTTTAGCTTTCAAACATCCCAGTGGAGTCATAAGGACAAGAATATCATTTCCATGTTACAGACTGTGAACCTGAGCTCGCAAGTTGAGTTAGTAACACAGCCAGAAAGAGGAACTAGGTTTCTAGTTTCTCCGGACTCAGAGCCCTGCCTAGGACTGTATCACTGGGGCAGATAGAGGGACAGGCAGATAGAAACTGCAGGCTCAGGCAGTTTGCATGGGAATGGAGGCGGTAAATGATGCATTTGTGGGAACTCAGAGCCGCCCAGCAGCTGGCCACATTGGCAGAAGATTTTATGGGGAGAAGTAGGAGGGGAACGTTGTTCTCACTCCTCACCCAAACTGACCTCCTGCTAAGCTGATAGCCCTGAAAATAAAATGCAGTGTTCGCAAGATAGAAAGGTCTGTGGTGGCAGTTTCCCCAAAAAGCCCTCACGTCAATTTAGTGTCTTCTCTGCTGGATTCAGGTTCCTTCAGGGAGCCCTCTTCCCACATTCCTGTGGCCATACATGCCAAGGTAGATTCTCTGGGTAAAACGAGGCAACTGAGAAGGTGTTGCTCTTTTTTTCCTGTTACTTTCATCTCCATCAAAAGCGCTACCCAGAGACAGGACAGGCTTTCAGTGGTTGAGGCAGCACGGGGATCTTTCAACATTTTGCTTACAGCTTTTTTTGTTGTTGTTGTTCCTCAGATTAGCCTGCTCAACTCGATTCATGAGAACTTCTCACAGTAAGTACTGTCCGATGGTCAGCCCTCCTCCCTGTCAGAACCATGGTGTGCCCTGGACTGTCTGTCCACTCACCTTCCTCCTCCCTAGTGTGAGTGATCAAAACTGATGCTAGGTATGTGATTCTGACACCTTCACCCCACTGCTAAGAGCACATGTGTCTTGGTTTACATAGTCTTTGAGTTCTTGCAGAAACACAATGATATTAGAATGAATTTTGAACACACCAAGGAATGTCTTAGGAAAAAGTTAACTTTCAAATAAGTTGACTATGCTTAACGACTACCATATTTTGCCATGTATAGTGTGCACCCACTTTTTTGGCCCAAATTTTCAGGGAAAAAAATTTTTTGTTTTAATTTTTTAATTCAAATTTTTATTTGTTTACATTTAGGTACTTGTTTTTTGTATTATAAAGGAATTTTAGCATTTACTCTTTAACATTATGGTACAAGAAATTTTATGTAACAAATAATTACAAAGCACAAGAACAGATACATAGTATAAGAAATTCTATGTGCCAATAACAAATTTACAACTATTTACTCATCATAGAAGGCCAAGAACTCTTCCTCGTTCGTTGCAAGTTCATTATAACTTCAACAAAACCGATTATTGTATTCCAGGCTATTATTTTGCATACGGATATCATTGATTTCTAGAGTTACACTTTTAACTCATAAACATAAATAAAAGAATTCAAAACTTTTATATAGATACGGAATTATAATGTATAATGTACATTCTTATTTTTCCCTCACAAATTTGGGCAAAAAAGTGCACATCATATACAGCAAAATATGGTATAATCTCTTTGCATATTACTTTTGTTTAGATAAACACTGTTTGTTCTTGAGGACATAAATGTTTTGAAATTTAGATAATGAAATCTATAGAATTTTTTTTAAAGATTTTTAAAAATCTTGGTAGTACATTTTATTTTTTAAGTTAATGTGCATCCTCTAAACTACTTTATTTAGATGTGAATTTTTTTTCTCCAAAAATTGGATGGCAAGGCCTACCTGTACCCAGATCCTAGCAGCCCTCAAGCACACACATTGGCCCCTGGCCCATCCAGGCAACTGAGGGCCTATTCTCTGTAGAGCAGGCTTCTTCTCTTAGTACAAATCTAGTACTGTCCCCTGCCAGGTAACCAGTAACTAATATTGTAATGGCTTACAAGCTCTAGATTTTAAACTTCATTTCTAATTAAAAACAAACAAAACACCCAAAGCTTCCTGAGAAGATTCGTTAGTGACTTACAACCTTGTGACATGTCGAAAACTGGTGGCTTCATCTTTATTTCCTGACAACTGAGAGAGTTGCAGTGTGAGTGTTTTTGTGACAAGTTCTGCTTGCAGCCGTTCTTTGGAAGAATTCTCAGTCCTTGTATCCCTGTGCTCTGACACTCCTGGTTTCACTCCTGTGGAACTGGAGGTGAAAGGAAATGTTTTAGGATGTCAGGAAATCTCCTCCTTTAGCTGCTGCTTCTAGAAACAGGAACCCTGGTTTTTCTATTTGTTTTTTTTAGCTGAGCCATCCTGCCACCTGTTGGCAGGTCAGCGGCAGCTCAGCTCAGGCTGGGAATCAAACCGCTGTTGCTCAGAGCTTACAGTCTTGAGCGAGCTCTTAACCAACTGAGCCACTCGGCTGGCCCAGGTACCCCGGTTTTAAGAAAATCTCAGACTATGTCTACTAATCCTGAGCAGTGTCTCCAAATCCTCAGAGTTTTAAGAACTAAATGGAATTCATTTCTTAAGCAGTACCTGCTATCATTCAAAGTCAAAAATGCTTTTATTAATTTTAGTGACATTTTATTTTACTTTAAGAAAATGTCTATTATTTAAGTAAATTATAGGAAAATGTAAGAAAGATTAATATTCAGTTATTAAAACCAGGCTAATTGTTATGCCTTCCTCAGAGTTTAGGGTTGTTAACTGCCTGGGACCCCGGGTTCCCAGGAGTCCAACCTGCCTTAAAGCCTGTTGCCTCTTGGGGCATCATGTGGGCACAGGGCTGACTTGGTGCCTCCTCCTTTCTCAGAGCCCTGTGTGCTGGTCACACCTCTACTGGTTTTTCTTTCAGAGCCATGGCTTCCCCTGCTGCCCGGGACCAGTTTTTACGTCAGATGGAACAGATCGTAGAAGGAATTAAGCAAAGTAGAATGAAGGTCAGATGTCTTCTTTTGTGTAATGGGGCCCGGGTTTCATAGTGGTGATGGAGAAGGCCCTGGAAGAACAGCTTCTGGTTGTCCTGGAAGTGGGCGGCGCCATCTCCGGGGGCTGCCTGCACTGGTGGTTCCAAGGCAGCTCTTAGCAGTAGCTCCATGACTGAATATGCAGTATGAGCCAAGCACTGTGCTAAGCCTCCTAACACCCTTTTAAGTGAGTCCTGTCATACCCACCGTACAGGTGAGGAAACCCACTTTCCCCAGCACCTTCCTCTCTTGCCCAGAGTCGCTTCCTCACTGGATCTCTGGTTCCTGACATTCATTCCTTAGGATCTTGAAAGCATTGTAGTGTTCAGGAACTTTCTATAAAAAATGCAAATAATTGCTGAACTCAGTTCTACGAAAGTGAGAGGCTATTGAATGCCTCAGAAGCCAGAAGAGAAAATAGAGGGACTGAAAAGGGGTGTGGGAGTTCCGAGTTAGCTTTGCAGAGAATCATCCAGTCTGGGAGCAGCATGGGGTTTCCCTCGTCTCGTGGCTCTGCACGTGCCCATTTTGTCAGTGAAGCAGACTCGCTGACGGTGGAAACCAGACCCAGCTGCAGTTCCCTACTACCAGAACCAGGTGAACCCTCACTCCTTCCAAATGTTTCTTGCTTTCAGTCCTGTTTAAGAAATAAATGTATCACACCAGACTGATCCTCGGCACAGCAGTAAAACCACCTGGGGACTTAGGGCATCTCCTCTTGTGATCTGGGGCAGCGTGGTTCAGTGAGTAATGCCGGAATGTAAACTCGTGAAAGAAAGGACTGTCTGTGGGACCTGCCATCATAAAAACCCATTCACGGGCCAGCCGAGTGGCACGTTGGTTAAGAGTTGACTTGGGACACCAGCTCTGAGCAGCAGGGCCCTGGTTCGGATCCCACATTAGGACCAGTGACAGTGCACCCTCTACAGCTAAGATGGTGAACAACAGCTCAACCTGAAGCTGGGCTGCCGTGAGTCGCCGGTGACGGCGTAGGCTGCAGTGGGCTGCCATAAGTGGCCAGCAGCCAGCGTGAGCGGCTTTCCAATGGCCGGCAAGCGACTGCCTCACCCAGGAAGAGCGCAATGATCACAATACCAACATGGGCCAGTGAAGCAACGTCCTCCACAACTAGACTGAAGAACAAAAGGACAACAACTTGTCTGTTCCCCTTCCCCGATTCTCCAGCGCTGTTCCCCTCCCCCAATTCCCAATAAAATCTTTAAAAAAAAAAAAAAAATTCACAAAAGACACATTCAGGCTGCCCGGAATCTCATCTCACAAGAGATGAACTGAGGACACAGCTCTCCATATCCTTTTCCTTGTAGAGAAATATTAATCTCCCCATTAATGACTTCAGTTAATTGATGTCAAAGAAGAGAAAAAAAAAATGTCGCTAGTGTCAGGACTTCTCATCCACAAAAATGAGAGCACAGGTGAGGCAGCACTCACCTTGGGCTGGACTCTTGCCCCAGCGGGACAGGCCCTCCTGCAGAGAGCGAACGGAGCCCCTTCTTCAGGATGTGGGGGTGAAGCCGGTGGAGGACAGCGAACCTGGCCAACCGTGAGCCTGTCACAACCCAGGTCTCCATGTGACGGGCCTTTCTTCCCTGCCACCCTCTTCCTTGGGAGCTACTTCCGCTCAGAGTAAAGAACAACAGGAACTTCCTGGGTTTTTTCCTTGGGCTTCCCCTTCCTGTTCACTAGGAGATGGCTTCCTGGGGAACAGGTGGCCTGACCCCTCCTTCTCGCCGTCCTTCCCAGGCTTCATGCTGTTAGCACCGCAGTGCTGGGTAATTCCTTGTTGTATGGGGGCTGGCCTGTGGGTTGTGTGATGGTTAGCAGCATCCCTGGCTCCTACCACTAGATACAGCAGGACCCCATCCTCACAGTTCTGCCAGTCCAACCTGTCTCTAGATGTTGCCAAGTGTCCTCTGGGGGGTAAAATAGCCCTCCAGAGCTATTTTGGGAACCACCAACGTGTTGATTTTCAAATTGTTTGTAGAAAGGAACAGTTAATGCTCAATGATAGGAGACGTGCTGAATAAATTATAGAGCCTTTATGCAATCTCATGCAAATAATAAACCAACCTCAAAAATGATACAAAGAAGGAAAATACTAGTAATAGTTGCCTTTTTTTTTTTTTTTAGCTGAGCCATCCTGCCACCTGTTGGCAGCTCAGTGGGGGCGGGACTCGAACCACTGTTGCTCAGAGCTTGCACTCTTAAGCGAGCTCTTAACCAACTGAGCCACTCGGCCGGCCCTAGTAGTTGCCTTTTAGATGTTGTCAGAACGTGCCTTTTCATTACCATTTCCCAAAATGTTTCAACAGATGGAAAAGAAGAAGCAAGAGAACAAAATGAGAAGAGACCAGTTGAATGACCAGTACTTGGAACTGTTAGAAAAACAGAGGCTATACTTTAAGACCGTGAAAGAGTTCAAGGAGGTAAGAGGATGGTTGGGCCAGGCATGTAAGGCTAAGGTGAGATTTATGTTCACCTCCAGGTGAGCCTTTAAAAACCAGAGCAATGCTTTGGTTTCCCACTGGTCTGTAATGGGAAATAGCAAGTCAGCAGTGTGATGTGACAGTAAAGTGTGGCATCCAGGTAGTTCAAGGTTGTGTTGTTTTGCGGCCATCTTGAGGCTCGACTCGAATGTCCTAAGAGACATCACATCTTTATTTTCATTTTCTTAACACTTAGTAAGTACATTAAACTCATAAAATGGCATCATCAGCCCCCATCAAGGGCCACTTAGAAACAGCATTTGTTATAGATTCAGATTTGGAACTTTCCCTCCCCTCAGTCTTAGGATAGGGAGGGGCCTTAAGAAGCCACCTGAGAAGAGGGCGCACTTTGCAATGTGCCAGGCCTGGCTTGCAGTCCTACCTCTGCCACTTACCGGCTGTGCACGAGGGCAATGACCTATGCCCCCAAGCCTCAGGTTCCTCACTGGTGGGTTCTGCTGGGTCAGATGAGAGAGGCAAGCTCCTATCACTGTCGGGCATGTGCAACACCCAGCACTCGCTGGGTTGCGTTTGTCCATGTCCTTTCCCCCTGCATTTGGGCAGGGTTACACTCCATTGTTCCAGAAAGAAAAGTGTTTGCCCTTTTCTTAAGAGGTCTTCCAGAAAAATGATTATTTTGTGATTTGCCAGGATCTCAGCAGTTTAATTTCCAGGAATTCCTTCCCCCAATGTAACCTAATGTGAGTTTAGAGATTGCTGAAAATATAGAAGCACTAAAGATAGGTTGGATCCTGGTGTTTGGTTTACAGAATAAAAAATTTAATCTTTCTATACCAATAATTTTGTTCCTATATATTTTTTAAGACTTTCCTTCCTACCCTTCCTTCCTTCCTTCCTTCCTTCCTTCCTTCCTTCCTTCCTTCCTTCCTTCCTTCCTTCCTTCCCCATCTTTTCCTTCTCTGCTTCTCCTTCCCCTTTTTGTAACTTTAACTTTTAGGAGCCACAATTTGTGGCCATTTCAAAATCCCTCATCCTTTCAGTGAATGTCCTCCCACCTCCTGCCATGCCCCTTGGGATATGATGGGTGTAAACAGACCCAGTCACTACGTTGTGGTAGGGGAGACAAATAACAAGCGAAGAAACAAATACATAGAAACCCTAGTAAACTAGTAATAGCAAATAAGGAGTAATGTCAGCCTTTGCCCAGGAGGGACTGATGGACATGTTGTGGTCAGGGAAGGGCTCTCTCAGTTCGGAGGAATGTGGCCAAGAGTCCTTCAGGCAGGGAGCAGCTGGCTAAAGGCCTTAAGCCTGAGCATCATGGGAGAGTGATCAGCTGAGATGCTTGAGGCCTGGGGGCTGGGGCTGCAGTTTCAGAAGGGCCAGTGAGTGAGCCAGCAGGGACCAGACGGGCCCTGCTCCCCACTGGAGCTCTTTTTTTCCTTTAATTCAAATAGCTCACAGAGAGAAGGTCCAGAAGAGAAGGATTACATTTCAAATATTGCATGGACATGCCATCACTGCCCTTTAGACAGCAGAAACAAAAATCAAATTAAGTTGGGAGGATAAGCATAAGCTGTCAAAATCAAAGTAAATAAGTGACATGAAAAAGCTCATGCCTGCACCACAGGCTTTCAGGGCTGAAGGCTTAAGATGCCCTCTAAGGGAAATGGATACATTAAGCATCAAGATTCCTGTGTCCCCACCTCCTCGGGCACAGTTCCTGTCACACCAGAGACCAAGCGTGGGTCCTCCCTGGGCACAGTTGCTGTCACACCAGGGGAACACCCCGAGACCAGGTGCATTCCCGTGCCTCAGTGTTCTTCCGTCCAAAGCAAGTTGGGAAAAAAGGGAGGGGAAATGTAATCTGTTCTTTGGACAGCTTAATATATATCATTTAAAGGACTCACCTTTTAAAAAAAAATACCATGTCCTCTTGTTTCTTGATGTTAAAATTGCCTTCCTCTTATAAAATAATGATACTAGTACATAATCCTTTATTTTTGTTAACATTTTACTTGGCAGAAATTTTAAATTAGCAGCCACGTGTCAGTGTCCCAAAACCTAAACATTTTCCCACAAGCTCCTCCGAGGTAATTTGGGGCCAGCACAGGTGTTGAGGAGGAGGTGATGGCTGCTAGCTTGCTGCTCCCCACTCTCCACCCCACCCCTCCATCCAGAGTAATTCTCCTGTTTTACATGTTGCAGTTCTGAGTAAGATCTTGTTTGTGGTAGAAAAACAGCTTGAAAAGTTGGACTTTCATCCCAGGGTGGAGCCTTCTCCCAGCACCCTCTCTGTCTTGGCCTCTTCACCTGCCTCTGCCCCCCCCCCCCCCCCACTCCCACCCCGCTCAGTCTGCTCCCAGTTCTGAGTTCCCACCACGTGCTGGTCCCTGGCACTTGGCTGGACAGTGATTCCTCTTTGTGCAGAGGACTTTATTGTTGTCCAGACATGTCTTGGCCACCTTCATAGTTCCCCCTCTGGGCTGTGGTTTGCTGCACATAACTGAGTCCCAGTGATGCCCCCGGGCTCCATGTAGACACCAAGTCATGCCCTCATCCTGACTCCCAGCCTCCTCTGGACCTTTTTGTAGAGACATAGGGTTATTCCTAAAATCCCATTGGCTGGCCGGCACTGGAGAGTTTGTTCATAACAAGTCTTCCAGGAAACAACACATACTCTAAAATTACCTTAATTGCAGCATTACTCAGTTAAGTAATTGTGTCACTAAACCACAATCTCTCACAAGGTCACCAAACCAAGCTTTAAATTCTGGCCTAGGATTGACGAATGCAGACCATACGTTTTTATGAAGCTGCCTTTGCATACGTAATCTTAAGTGAGCTGAAGTAAGTGCCATGTCTGGCACTTACAGTCTTCAGCAGAAGAGAAACAGAGGCAAGGAGACATTTTTCCTTTTCTTCTAGACAGAAACGCCCAAAGGACCCTCTCTGTATTTGCTTTGAATAGACAGTGTCATTCTGCAGTCTCCCAAAAGGCTTCCAGTAGATTGCATGGAATTTAATCAGTGTCCATATACCAGGTGATAGTCTAGGATATCTTTACTGAATGATTCAAACATCATGTCAGTGTCATATGATACATAGAATTCTCTCTGCTGAGGACTCCTACCACCGGTGTTTGGATGCTTCTGAGTCACTTTTGCCTCATTTGAAAGGTGAGGTGGGTGACAAAGCTCATTTACTTATTATTTTATTATTTTATCTTTTTGTGTGAAATTAAAAAAATACACAGGAGTCCAGGAAATACTATAACAATACAACTATCTGCCTATTCTTGCTCCATCTCTATTACTCCCCACTTTTTTTTGGCTGGTGATTATTTCTCCCAAGCAAATCTCAATGACTCGTTTTTTAAAGAAGACCTTTCTTCTTTTCTAATGGAAGAAAGGTTATTCAGCCTTCACCTTTTTTCTCTTCCCACCCCCAGGAAAAAATTAATTGCCTCCCCCTCCAAAAAAAACGTGTGCTCAAAAAGCATGAGAGCACCTTGCTTCTGGCAGACGAATTTAGCGTTACCCCCAACCCAAGAGCCTGTCTATTCTCCAGCTCTGAATGGAAGATAAGTGTAAGCCCTACAAGTGAGCCTGTACTTGTCTTAATAAAACCAGGGTCATTGCATGCACGAGCCATGACGCTACCCAAAAGTGCAAAGGGCCTCCAGAAAGCATGGAGTACTTAGCCAGGCCTAGGTAGATGGAAACATTGACTTCTTGGATACAGAGGGTTCAAGGGTAAAACGAAGTTTTTCTTCCACAATAAGTGATCTCCAGGGAAGTGTGGCTACTGGAGCTGGCAGCACTGCCAGGCCTGGATCCTTGAGCTTAGGCTCTCCAGGCTCTTCCTGCTACCACATTTGCCTCTCAGTTTAAAGCAGGGCTCCTTGTGACATGGCCCAGGGAAGAGGTGGAGATGTTGCTAGCAGATGGAGGGATCCTGAGCTGTCAAGGCCAGTGGGAACAAGGGGCAAAAGGATACACAGTGAGAAGCCTTTGAGGATGTCTGAAGAAGGGAATACAAAATGATGCAGAGGTGACCTTGCACTATTGGGTGTTGATTCCACTGGTTCCACAGGCAGGGGATGGGGCCGGTGACCTCTCTCAGTAACATTCCTCAGCACTTAACAGTCGTAGAGCTCACGCAGCTCTTTCCTAAGGGGGGAGATGGCCCTCGATGCATCTCTCTTATGTCTTCTGTGAGTTTTCATTCTTTCTTAAAGTCAGTAATCCTAACCTTCACTGATAGCAGAGTAGGAACTTTTCCACTGCTCTGCCTGCTGTGCGCCTTAGTCTATCTCCAGGGACCTGCCCGTTTCCTCCCTTCTCACCATGGTAATCCAAGATTGGCACATACGTGTCTGCTTTCTGCTTCTGTCTCACTGAAGGCTCTAGAGCCTTCATGAAGTCGTTTGGAACGACATGCCTAGTCCTGTCATCCTATTCTGTCTGACAATGTAGAAAGCGAGCGTCATTAGAGCTATTTTGGCTGGGAAAGGAAGCATGTTGCCAGGAAGTTTCACTGTGCTGGTGGCAGCACGTTAGGAAGCCCATTCCGGTGGTCAGAAGATGTCTCCCAGGGACCTGGGGGAAGGACTGCGAGATCACATGGGCCTCACGTGGGTGCTAACCCAGCGCCACCTGTCTGCACACACTCTCTCTGCTTCCCCTGCAGGAGGGCCGCAGGAACGAGGTGCTGCTGTCCAAGGTGAAAGCCAAGGCCTCCTGAAACTTCCCAGCCATCAGCGTACGTCATTGATTTTTGTTTAAACGCCATATATCAGCTACCAGATCATGAAATGGTTCTGAACACTACAGTAGAGAGATGCAGGTATAATGATTTTCAACACCCTGGATATTTTCTTTATCCTGTTGGCTTTCATTCCATCTCTGTTGGTCGTTGTTGATGGATTCAGACAGTGCAAGCATGGTGGCTTGGACAACACCCATCATCCTCTGAAGAAGTGTGGGCAGTATTTGCTCTCTGTGTCGATGAACATTTATTTCTCCAGTAGCATTGCACATGACGGTACCTATATCTGTATGGACTCTCTGAATAAAGAGGAATTCATTTGTTCAGCAAATATGAATTGAGCAACCACTGAGAAGTAGGCGTTGAGGGAGATGGATGGATAAAGCACAGTCCTCCACATTGGGCACCCAGCCGTGGCCCAGAGAGCAGATACAGCCCACTTGACCCCAGAGCTTGGCCAGCTGGGAGATTTTTTTAATAAACAAAGACCTTTATCATTGAATGATCATCCCAGGTGAGTGATGGTCACCTGGGCCCTTCGCTTGCCTGTAGTGCCTTTTGCTCCTGGCTCCTTGAGGTGTTGGCCAGCAAGCTTAATAGTGTAGTAACTAGGATGAAAGCTCAGCATCTGCCCTTGGCTTAACCCTTAAGCATCACTCAAGTTCATGTCACCAGAACTGAAAACGGGCCTCACATTGAGGACTTAAATAAGAATCACACCCTACCATGCCCTGGGTTTCATTTCAGTCCCAGCCAGCCTGGGGATGGTCTCGTGCATTCCCCTCATTAAGAGCACATTCTGTGAGCCCTGCACTCAGAAGGCCGTGGTCTAAGCATGGAGATGCGACACATGATTCTCAGCAGCTCAGGGCAGTGTGTGGGAAATCTGAGTGACAGACCATGAGCAGGTGCCAGGAGGAAGAGCGGTGAGTTGCGCAGAGACCCAGGAGACGTCATGCAGGAGGCACGATGTGGGCTAGATCTGAAGTGGCCGTCGCATCTGTGGGAAGGCCATTTGGGATAAAGATACAAATACGGCTGAAAATTCAAGAGGGTGCAGGAGAGCACAGGAGTGCCGTTGGGAGAGGAGTGGGCGGGCCAGGGCCAGTCTCTGCAGGAGGCTTTAGAGACAGGTCCGGAAGGATGGGCCGGGGCCAGCCTCTGGAGGGCCTGGAAGGGAAGGCTGAGGGGTTGATTTCATCCCCTGGAGATGAGCAGCCCAAACCAAACGCAGACCTCCTGCCCCGGCCCCCAGGGATCTGGCCACTTAGTCATGTCCAGGAAGCCCCCGCTTGATTGAGGATTGCGATTCCTTCTGCATAAACCATACACAGATACCAGTCAACAGGTTTGGACCATAAAACCTAAAAGGTTAAACATGTCAGGCAAATGGGCTGTTCAGTTCAGTGCAGCCACAGGAGTATCATGTTCATTTTTATTGGGTTGTCAGAAAAGTCATGACGTATTTTTTCTGTTTTTCGTTGCAAAAATGCGTCATGACTTTTCCAACAACCCAGTAGTTCCCTGATGTATGTGATTAAGCAGCTGATGTGTACAGACTTAAAAAAAGAAAACCTCATGCTGGACTAACAGCAGCCATTGGTTGCCAGGCCAGGGCCCACGAGGCCTGCCTGACAGGGTTGGGGGTGGCTGCCGCCAGGGCTGGATGGAAGCAGCGGCATTGGAAGTGGCACTCCTGTGCTGAGCCGTGGATGTCTCCACTTAGGCTGCTGCCCGCACTGTGGTCATTTGTGGGTTATGAAAGGGCTCGGTGAGGTTAAAGTAAGAAATTGCCAAAGAGCAAGTGGCACTTGGATGGCAGAGAGAGGAGGCAGCAGTTTAACTCTAAATTACTTCAGGCTCAGGACAACGCCGTTACCTTGTTGAGAGGCTCATAGACCTACTCCCTAACTAACAACTTTTGGAGGAGTTAGGAGATTATTCAGATATTTGTCCAAAGGAGGTCGGCAGGAGGAGTGGGTGACATTCTGGGGTTAATGTAGGCCACCTCAGTGGATTTGTTGGGGAAAGTATGGCATGAGGAATCCAAAGCAACCAACATTTAGTTTTTAAAGTGGGGGCATTTATGTTGAGCTCTGTTAAAGAGTTTCATTTGGTTTGGTTTTGGTGCAGGGAGATATCAGTAGATACCTTTTCCCTTTCTTTCATCCTCAAGGACTAATACAAATAATAAATTAGTTTCCATCCCTTTAATGCATTTTGAATCAGATAGCAGAAGCCAATCTGGAAAATTCCACGTTTGCCTACAGATACCCACAGAGTAGGTGGTGCCTGTAAGAGTAATTAGGACACTAAGTGTGCTTTATATTTTACAGTCGGGCCTCACAGGCTGAGGAGAGGCCCCGAGGCCCCACTGATTTCACAAGCCAACAGGGGTTCCAGGACGATGTCCTGTCCACAGCCATGACAGTATGGCTATGTGTCCTGCCAAGCCCACGTACTTTCTCAGAGCTAAAAGAAAAGGCGGAGGGGAACCTCCTTAAGTTCCTGTCGTGGAATGTGTGCGTCAGGAGAAATGAGGTCCCCAGGAAGCATGCAGTTGTCCCTACTTGGCCGCAGCAGTGGACTTCACCGACAGGCAGCGTCCGTCCGTTAGACACCGCGCCCTGGAGTTCTCGGCCAGCCTGGGTCAGGAACTCCCTCTCACAGGCGTCTCATGGGGCTGCTTCAGCTTAAACCAAGAGCGGCGTGGCTGTGAGCAGCACAAACTAGAAGATTGTGAGGCATCTAGGGAGACATTTGGGACGTATTTCTTGTTTCCTTGGCCTGGGTTTGGTCTCTCGTGGGTCACTGGGGTCAGGTAATAGCACTCGAGGGACATGCCAAGAGTTAGAAAATAGCGGCCACGGTTACATGTGAGAGGTCTGCTTCCTTGTTTACAGACAGGGCAGATTCCAAGTTTGTCGGGCCTAAGCTCTTGTTAGAGTCCAGAGTGCGTGGTTTTAGCGGGGTTCTTGTTCGGAGCCCGTGTTCTGTGGATAGCCAGGCCAGGCCCTGCCAGTGGCCACCGAGTCTGAGAGCAGAACAGAAGGCAGAGGCGTGGTCCAGACAGGAGGCCTTGCCCAGGCGGGAGAAGCGCTCCCTGACAGACACATAGCGCTCAGGAGACCAGGGGCAGAAGATGGGGCAGGCCTCAGGAGCCCTCTTACTCCCTCACAAAGCGCCATCCCCGTCACCTTGGGCTGTAACTACAATGGCCCCAGTCACCTCTAGTGACCAAAGCAAACCTGCCTGAAAGGGCTTTGGACTGTAAAACTGTGCCTCCCTGATTGCTGTCGCCTCAGCACAGCATGGCCTTTGTCTTGCCCGCCCCGCAGGTGACTGATGATCAGTATAAGAGGGGAAGCAGGTATTCTAGCAATACGTTCTAACAATGGCTGTGGCTGAGTCTGAGATGTAGATAATTGGCCTGAAACATGCTTTGAGGAAGAACACTTTAAGGAAGCGCTTTATGATTTACTCACAGCCAGTGCTGGCCTCCACATAAAAACACATCTCACTGCAGAGCAGTGCAGTGAAGAGCCCAGTAGGAAAAGGTGCCCAGGGTCTGGCCCTGTGGCTGGACACTCACCAGGTGACGTGCCCTGTGCGATTTGTCTTCAGTGCCCCCCACTCCTCCTTACAGCACATGGTGATAGTGCTACATAAAAAATGTTATTGTGGTCTTCTGTCCTCACAATAAATGTGTAAAAACATTAGGAGGGGTTTAGTAGCTGGCCTGCAGCCTGTGGGACAATGTGGGGATACTGTGTGTTTGCCACGCCAGCCTCACATCAGTTGCGCAAACAAGCCAAGTTCACACCTGCCCATGGCAGTTGCCCTGGCCTGTCGCCACGCCTGGACCGCTCTCCCTCTGAGGTTATGGGCAGTGGTTTTCCCTGACTACCTGATGCTCGTACAGACCCATTCAGTGTCAGCCTGCAGGCCTGGTCTCATTCTGCCCTTTCCCTGCTGTCTTGATGACACTTGGTGGCACTGTTTGAATCGTAGTCCTTTGCAAGTGCCTGCCACCCCTCTGGAGTATAAGACAACACAAGCAGGTCCCTGGCCTGCGTTCCTCACCACCCTCCCCACGCCCCCCCAGCATCTGGTGAGCCTGAAGAATCAGGAAATTCTGGTTGGGTAAAATAGCTTCTTTGAATCGCAGCTTTGCAATTCAAGGTTTAGATTCAGCCTTTCATCTAATTTATGCTTAGTTTGAGAACAGGTAGACAGTTTCATTCAGCAGCTTTAGAGAGTCTCAGAATGTATTTGTACCACTCTAACCTTGAAGGTAGAGATGAAAAGGCATCAGGTTTCAAACCTTTCAAAGGAATTACCTTTTACAGATGTTTTGTTTTCCCCACATGGTAGGGGTGGGTGGGCGGCACACTGATGTAGAAATTAGATCGTGAGTATGTTTGGCTCAGAGTATGTCATGAATCTAAAGGTAACTTGACTGATTGAAATGACAGCCACATGAAACCAAGAAGTGGAAAGCAGCACTTGCATATGGTGGTGTATGATTGTATAGCTTCCTTGGAGAGCAGCTGGGCCGTATCTTTCAAAACTGCAAATGCATAAGCTTTTCGAGCCACCAGTGCTACTTTCTCAATGTTTACTGCGTACAAGGATGCTCACTGTAGCATTGTGTGTGACAGCAAAAAGCCGGGATCTGCACCAACATACGGCGATGGTTAAATAAATGATGGGGAATCCATACAATGGAATATTAAAAGAACAGAGCCACTGTGTATGTACTGCCATGGAATGATCCCCAAGATCATGGTTAAGTGGGGGGGGGAGGTTTGTAGTACACTAGTGTTTGTTTTTAAAAAGGAAGGGGATGAAGAAAAGGGTGTGTGTATCTGTCTGTATCTCTATACACACAAATACACACACAATTGTGTATCACACGCCTGGGTTACCTCTGGGAGAATACTTAGCAACCCAGCAGCCTTGGTTGCCTCTGGGAAGAGGGGTGGGAATTACTTTTCGCTGTATACCTTTTGTACCTTTTGAATTTTGTACCATGTACATGTATAATCTATTCAAAAAATAAAATTTTTAAATTTTAATGTGGTTTACTTTTAAAAAAAATAGAAACAAGACCGAAGAGTCTCAGGTAATACATCTGCTTTCCTTAAGAATGTAAAGCCCTCGAGCCACAAGCAGTTAAATCCTCCTTTTCTTGAGTCAGAGGGAGACAGGGGAGTGAAGAGAGGAGCAGCTTTGGGGAGACAAGCAGTGAAGATGATTCTGCTCCAATTGTGTGAGCGAGTGGGGGAGATGGGGAGCGGGAGGGGGCTGGAGACCCACTGAGGCGGCTATGCCCCGCGAACAGACTAGGGCTGCTCCAGGGTTGCCTCTGTCTCAGGAGGATCATAGCACAAAAACCCTGTTCTGGTTTTTGGGGTTCAAAACATGAAGATGGTACCTCTGAGCCATGGTCCAAGGGCAGCTGTTATGCTGTGGAAGCTGTTCCTGTCCTGCATGGAAACCTGCTGTGGGTGATCCTTTCCTCACCAGCAGAACTCTGTCCAGCTCGGGTGGCAGTGTGGCTGGCCCCAGGAGATAATCATGACAGCTGTTCTAAAACAGTCAGAGGAAGCCTATTTCTCTGCCAAGAACAGGTTTACACGTGGGTATCTAACCCCCTCATGGCCAGTACCTGGTACAACAGCTGCACATCGTGGGTGGTCAGTCAATAAATAGTCCTCCTAAGATTTATTCCGGATTGTGCATTTTATGAAGGGCAGGATAGGGAAGAAGGTCATTAGCACAGCCTAGTGTCTCAGCCAAGAGGGGAAAATCCCCAATAATAGCCCCAAGCTTAAGCTTTAGCCCTTACAACAATGATGGATAACTGAGAAGGCTATTTGATGGAGAACTACATACCTACCTGCCCACTTCCTCCAGGTTGTCAGCTTAAAGAATGTCTCCATACCTCAGACATCAGGTGAGACAATGGTGGACTGGACTGTTTTGTGTAAATTTAAAAGCCTACTCAGTAGGCAGCCAGCCCACCTCCAAAATCAGGTAGACTGTAGCCGAGATGATTTAGTCCAGGTGTCCCCCTCGTCCAGGCCCTTGGATTCATACATACATTTAATAATAACAGGAAGGCCAAGACTCACCATGACAGTTTGAGGAGGGCTTTAGGTGATGGTGTTTGTGTTTGAGTTCCACAACAGCCATTTTCCTATTCTCAATGACGTGTGTGTGTGTGTGTGTGTGTGTGTGTGTGTGTAGATTAGATTAGATAGATAGATAGATGGATGATAGGTAGAAAATAGATAATGCATGTATATACACACACATGAATGATTCTGAGCCTAGAAATGAATGCTTCGAAGTATTTTTATTACACATATACAAGTCAGTATGGTGAAGTAATGGGGAAATTCTTCACAGCTGCTCTCCTTGTGGTCCAGAAGCAGAGAAACATCTCTCCAGGGATTCTTGACGATGGCTCACACTGGAATCACCTGGAGGGCCCTAAAAAGCACTGCTGTTTGGGTCTCACCCCCCCAGAAATGCCCATTTAATTGGTCTAAAAGTCAACCTAAGCATCCAGCAGTCTCTCACAAAAAAAAAAGTCTCCAGAGAACTTAATACAGTAAGTCCATAACTTATGAACGAGTTCCGTTCCGGGAGAATATTTGTAAGTCAGATTCGTTCATAAATCTGACAAAGTGAGTTGTATACATTTTAGACGCTTCCTAGCAGGCCCCTGCACATCACCACTGCTTTTCCTCTTGCTTCTGGACATCCTGGGCTCTGATTGAGCACTGTACTACTGTACACTATCGCACTGTACAGTGAGCACACAGCAGTACAACTGTGACAATGCCCGGCAGACACGTGAGCTACTTCCACGATTTGTTTGCAACCCGAATGTTCAGTGACTTACTGTATACAAATTACCAGACCTCTTCTTTGAAAATTCAATTCAGTAGATGTGGGTTTCACTGAACACTTTTTTAAAACAAAACTTGAGATGATCTTCATCCTGCAAATTGGGATGTACTTTCAGGGAAGATGGGTTCTATCGGGTCGATAAAGTGTTGAGGACGGACTGTTTCACAAAGGAGACAGTCTCCTGAGTGGGCCACAAATGTCTGACAAATATGGTATTAGACAAAGGAAAGGCAAATCAACTTTGACTCTTGTGAGAATTCCAGACAATTAGTCACTGCCTAAAGTGCTGTCTGGAACAGACTCTGAAGCTGAGTTCCCACTCAGTGAGGAAACATGCTGTGATTGATTAGCAATGTCTGCCACATACACGGGAATGGGTATCACAGCGCACATGCCACACATTTGCTATCTTTCTTGAGAGCCTTTGGCACTGCTGCTCTACAGTCCAGGCCCAGTGCTGTGGTTCTCAATGTCATTGATACTCAGCTGTGAGAGAAGGAAGGCTCCAGGAGGACTGGTGAAGGGCAGAAATACAAGTTTGCTCCCCACAACTCTCCATGCAAGTCTCTCCAAGCCCTGTGTTTATCTCTGCTCGGTAAAGAGGTTTTTGAAGGCATTGTTGTAGTTCTTGTTAAACGCTGTGTAAATCGGGGTTGAAGAAAGAATTGGAGTAGCCAAGCCACAGGAATATGCTTTTCTAGATGGGGGGTAGGCTGCACGCACAGAGGGGGCTGGTGAGCTCCGTCAGGAAGAAGGGGGTCCAGCATAGCGCAAACACACCAATGAAGATGCCCACCGTCAGGGCCGGCCGCTTCTCCTCCCGCAACAAGTCCCCACTCGCCTGAAAGGCCACCATTGGGCGATGCATGATGAACATCATTTCAGCCTCCTGAGGTGCCTCCTTCACCTGGAACAAAGGAAACGTGGAATTAAAAAATAAAACATAACTGGATGAGTAGTGACATGAGGCTACTCTGGTCTCGGCCACCACCTCCTCTGCAGCCTTACTCAAGATGCATTTATACTATAATCCATCAAAAAATATTAGGTGAAAAGACTCCTGAAATTGGAGGTTAAAATAAGGTCTGAAGGTTCTTCAGGGAGAGTGGCAGTCCCCACAATGTCAAATAATTTGATACAAAAATGGAGGGAGGCAGTTAAGAGCAGGGGTGCCTGGGTGTCAGACCCAGGTTTGAGTCCCATCTCCATAGACTATGTTCCCCTCTATGGAGCTAGGTGACCAGAGTCCCCTGCCACCCACCCCCACCCTACGTCCTTCCTCTCACCCCCCTCTGCCTGCTCCTAAAGCCTGGCATGGCAGACATGCACCCTCGGAGGGGGCATCCAGAGCACCCTCTTTAATAAGGTTCTCCCAAGGTTCCCCAGTCTTCCCACAGGCAGGTAACCTTCCACCGTTTCCAAATAATACTGACCAGTTCCCTCAGAGCAGACCATCAACAAGTCACCAGAGGAAGTCCAAGCGATCAAACCCTGAAAATCCAAGCGATCAAACCCCGTGAATATTTAGCCATGTGTTGTCAGGAGAGAAAAGTATTAGAGCATGAGAGGAAGTGGGAGACACTTTGTTTTCCTCCCACTAAGCTCATTGATGGGCACTTTTCCAGCCATTTCTCTGCTGACCTGCATGACCTCCCAAGCACTTGAGTTCCTCTACTGGGTAATGCAAATCCCAAATCCTTGTTACGCTATTGAAGTAAAGAAATGGGGTGAATTCAGTTCAAAGAATCTTTGGGAAAGAGAAACAAGATAAGTCCACTGATTAAACAGGTTAAAACCCACGCAGGCCTCCACCAGTGCATTCAGCAGAGCCCACCTTTGCTCCACCAGGGTGTCTGTTTGCTTAGAAGCCTGTGTTGACAGCTTTTCACCTGAGCCTGCTATGCCCTGTTCAGAGTGACGCGGGAAGACAACGTTTCCAGAAACAGATTCAAAGAAAATGAGTCAATCAGGGATTATCCTGGTTTGCTATGAGACTGACTCGTTTGGCTTTTTTTCATTTGAAATTCAATATCTAATAGAATATCAAAAGACATGAAGAACAACAAAACCCAAGAAGCTACTGTAAAACAGACACTATGCTAAATGCTTGTCATGGATGACTCAGTCCCACACCAAACTTTGAGTTAGTATTATTATCACTATTTTACTGTTAAGAAAACATTCTGAGAGGTGAAATACCTTGTCCAAGGTCACAGAGGTTCTTATTATTAGAGCTGATGTCAAACATGAGTAATTGGAAGCCAAGACCACATTCCCAACCCCTACTTGTTATTCTGCACCTTAAGTAAAAGTAATCTGAATGGGTTGCCACAGAACCTGTTTTAAGGATCCTGTGAAAGCTTGGGATGCTTTCAGAAGACATCCATAGTTTCCTGGGCAACTTCCAGGAAGCAGCAACCAGCTCTCCACCTTTTCTCTTCGGTCTTTGACATATGTCTAGTACTTGGCTAGGTGGTTGCCCACCCCATCTCGGTTATAATAGCAACCATGTAAGGAAGGAATGAGGAAACCAAGGCTCAGGTCAAGTTAGTGATTAGAGAGGATTCCAAGCTGAGCCTCCAATTCTCTAATCATGAAGAACCTTATCTGTATTGGTAGGCTTACTGTGAGGATTATAGTGAGACAGTAGTACATAGCAGGACCTCATAAATGTCAGGTTCATGTCCCCCTTTCCCTTCCCTCTCTTCTAAGAAAAACTCCACCTGCCACAGAAGGAACCTATGAAAATTTATAATCCTCTAAAGTTGTCAGATAAACATCCTAATAAGAAATAGAAAGGGAAAGCAGAAAGAAGAAGAATGGTTCCTAGTCACTGTGGAACATACCAGTTTGCACTATGACCACGCAGATCAGGCATCCAGTATGGTGAGACTCTTTACAAGGCTGGTGCTGGGCAACCACATAACCTTAGTGGCTAACAAAGCCCTACAACATCTGAGAACATTAAGAGACTTCCGATTTTGGTTGAAGGCACTCTGGATTATAACTGGAATTCCCTGTTTCTAACCAGAGCTCAGCAGGTCAGGACTTGGAATACCTGGGGCTCCATTCTCTCTGCCCAGGATTCACTGAGATAACCAAGATGCAAGTCTCATTTCTCTAAGGCACTTTAAAGAGATAACTCATCAAAATAGCCCCTCAAAGCAAACAGAAACTGTCTAGCTTGTCTGACAAACTAGAACAGGAGCTTTTCTCAGCTGCCTCTCTTGTACAAAATAAACCAGGAAAATAAAGATATTTTCTGGTA